CATCTATAAGACCGCTTTCCGCACACATGAGGGTCACTACGAGTTCGTCGTTATGCCTTTTGGGCTTACTAATGCCCCAGCTACATTCCAGGGCATTATGAACTCGATACTGAAGGCATTTTTGCGGAAGTTCGTCATCGTTTTTTTTTATGACATTATGGTTTACAGCAGGACATTAGGAGACCATTTGGAACATCTACGAGAAGTATTGGACTGCTTGAAGACAAACTAGCTGTATGCCAAACTAGAGAAATGCTCTTTTGCTCAAACCGAAGTGGAGTACTTAGGGCATGTGGTTGATGCTAAGGGAGTCCGACCAGATGAGGGTAAGGTTAAGGCCATTATGGAGTGGAAGGAACTCCGCACGCTGAAGCAACTGAGAGGTTCCCTTGGCTTGGCAGGGTACTATCGCAAGTTTGTGAGGGGGTTTTCACAAATTACAGCCCCTTTGACTAACCTCCTCCAAAGAGATGCGTTTCACTGGAACTCAGAAGCAGCACAAGCAATGACACACTTGAAGGAAGCCTTATCAAATAACCCTGTGTTAGCCCTACCCAATTTCAGTAAACCTTTTGTACTCACCACTGATGCATCTGGGGTTGGAATCGGAGCAGTACTCAGCCAAAACAACCAACCCATTGCTTATTTCAGTCGCAAGTTGTCACCAAAAATGCAAAAAGCCTCTACCTATGTTAGAGAATTATTTGCTATAACAGAAGGAGTAGCCAAGTTTCGTCAATATTTGTTGGGTAGCAAATTTACCATTCGCACAGACCAGCATAACATTAAGGATTTGATGGCTCAAGTCATTCAAACTCCTGAACAGCAGCGTTTCTTGGTTAAATTGCTGGGTTACGATTACACCATCGAATACTACCCTGGAGCTATCAACCGGGTAGCTGATGCCTTATCACGGGTCCATGAAGGGGAAAATACCAATGAGACAGAACAACCCACCCTTATGACCTTGTCCACCCTAATTAACCCCCTGTTGAATTCAATCAAGGCAGAAGTTAAGGAGAAATCAGAGTTGATCAAAATTACCAAGAGCATTACAGAAAACAAGGAGGGATTTGAGAATTATACCTTAAAGGATGGCTTATTATTTTTCAAGGGGCGAATAGTGCTGGCCAGTAATTCTGAACTTCGAGCTTCTGTACTCCATGAATTTCATTCCACTCTCGTTGGAGGTCATGGTGGAATCCGCAAAACACTGCATAGATTATCCACCCACTTCTATTGGCCCAATCTGAAATTTGATGTGCAAGAGTTTGTGCGAACGTGCCCAGTATGCCAAGTGACCAAATATCAGCCACTCTCCCCAGCTGGGTTATTACAGCCCCTCACCATCCCAAAGGCAGTGTGGGAGGAGCTCTCCATGGACTTTATAGTTGGATTGCCACCATCGGAAGGGAAGACTGCTATAATGGTTGTTGTAGATCGTCTGTCCAAGTACTCACATTTCTCTGCTTTACAGGGAAATTTCACTGCTTCGCGAGTTGCATCAGTGTTTGTATCTGATATTTGCCGTCACCATGGAATACCTCGTTCCATAGTCTCTGATCGCGACCACATCTTCATCAGCAAATTCTGGCAAGAGCTATCCAGATTAAGTGGGACACAGCTACATTTCAGCACAGCAAACCACCCAGAGAGCGACGGCCAGACGGAGGTTACTAACCGTGGGTTGGAGCAATACCTGCGATGCTATGCCATGGACAACCCAAAGACTTGGGCACAATACCTTCCATGGGCCGAATTTTCTTACAATTCCTCCTATCATTCCTCAATCGGTTCAAGCCCCTTTTAGGTTCTGTATGGTCGCGTTCCACCACCATTGCAACCGTATGAAGGAACCACTTCAGCTATTGAAGCAGTTGACACCCTGCTTACTCAAAGGGACCACATCATTCGTCAGCTCAGAGAGAACCTTCACCGAACTCGACACCGCATGAAAACACAAGCTGACAAGCATCGTCGCGATGTCCAGTTTGCCGTTGGGGATCGGGTATTAGTGAAGCTGCAGCCATATCGTCAGAAATCCGTTCGCCACCACACCTTTTCCAAACTCAGGCATCGGTACTATGGGCCATTCCCAATATCAGAACGGATCGGATCTGTCGCCTATCGACTGACTCTACCTGAAGGATCTCGCATCCACCCGGTTTTCCACGTATCCTTATTGAAGGCTTACCGTCAAAATCTTCTTTTTCACCTTTTACCATTACCCCTCGTGGCTTGGGAGAATCATCCGGTGACAGAGCCCATGGCCATCCTACGTTCCCGAACAATACCGAAGGGCAGGGTTTCAGATTTACAGATCTTGGTTCAATGGCGTGGCTTACCTTTAGAGGATGCCTCATGGATTTCCCTTTCTGAGTTTCTTCAAGCTTTTCCTCAGTTCGATCTTGAGGGCAAGCTCGAATCTTTAAGGGAAGGGGGATCTGATACGACCCTTATACTGGATGAACGCATGAGGGAAGACAGAGAAGATGTCGGTGGAGTTGTCGGTGATACTGCTGAGGAAACGCATGAGACAGAACCGCTTGAGACAGAAGAGACGGTGGGTCAACAAGATGAGTCAGATGCAGTTGGTCCAAGGAGAGGCACAAGGGCCAGGGTGCGTTCCAGGTGGACTAGTGACTATGTGATGTGAGCTTGGGCCAAGTGAACTCAAGCCCAACTCATTACCTATTAGCAGTTATCTTAGTAAAGCTTGTAATAATGGGCCTTAACTTGCAGAAGCCCAAAGTAGGAAATACTGATTCACTTTTTAAGTAGGAATCCCTTCTCTGATGAGGGTAGCGAAAGTTGTAACAGAATTCTTCTTCTTCCTCTAAAATTTCTGGAGTTGCCGGCATCCTCGAATTGCCGTTGGTCCTTTCATTAATATACAACATTTTCTTCTTAATCTTTGTCTGATCCTATCAGCAAGCCTGTGGTGAGGGTGCGTGCACGGTCTTAGCTTCTGTCATAGCACACTGGCTCCATTCCAACCATGATATGCCAACAAGAGCACAATTTGACAGCCTCATCAGACAAGGTTCATTTGAATGGAGAAGCCTGTGCAACATTGACTGCTACTCGAAGCTGTTCCCAGATAAACATTTTGATCTGGAGACGATCGTAGAAGCCAATCTGAGACCTCTCATTGTTCTGCCTCAGAAATCATACACGGGGTTTTTCTCCCCTGAGAAGTTCCGGTGCTTGAAAGGAGCTATGTCCTTTGATGAGATTTGGGATGAGATAAACGGCAAGGTTGTTGATTCCGAGCCAAGAATTTACATAGTAAGTTGGAACGATCATTTCTTTGTTCTGAAGCTAGAAGTAGATGCTTACTATATCATTGACTCGTTGGGTGAGAGACTTTTTGAGGGGTGCCAACAGGCATTCATATTAAAGTTTGATGATTCGAGTGTTATGTAATCCCCTTCAAAGGGTGCAAAAAGTAATGAAAGCCTTGAGATAATTTGCCGTGGAAAAGAGTGCTGTAAAGAGTTTATCAAACGCTTTCTCGCTGCCATACCACTTAGGCAACTAGAGAAGGAGGAGAAGAAATGGAATGTTTCAAGTCCTAATCTTCATCGGCAATTGCAGATTGACTTCCATTATAGCTCTTCATCATCCTCATCCAATTCAGCTTCTTCTTCTCTGTTGTCTATCTTAACAAGTGGATCTTTATAAGTCTATTACCTAGCCGGGCATTAGTTTCTCGGTCTTGTGGACTAGGAAGACATTCACCACGGCCTTGTGACCCAATCAGCTAGCATGTGCTAAATCTTTGAAGACCCTGGCCTTGTAGCTGTAGGATGCTTTTAAACCTTGCGTGTTTCAAAATGTCTCCTGTCGATGCTAGGTACACATCACGGACCATATTTAAAAGGGAAAAACTATTCTCATGTCACATTAGACAAGTTTTTTCTTTTATACATCCTTCGATAATTGTGCCAACTTTTTCTTTTTTTTTCTTTTATTTTTCAGGTGGTGGAGCCCACTAATTTGTCTCTATGACATGAGATTAATAAAACCCTATTTAAAATTGACTCTCGACTACAAAATGGTGGCAGGAATGTTTTCTTCTTGGTTGACCTTGAGCAAATGCTACAACTATAAACCGCAAATTAAGAAACTCGATTTTGGCAACTTTTAAACCTTTTAAAACCATGCTATTTTACTCAAATTGAAGATCAAGAACAATATATAAGCATCATTAGTTCATAGAAAAACCATCCCTTCAAGATTGATCCCTAGTAGGGCTTACATACCTGATACAGTGGATTTGAATGAAAAATGAAAGGAAGTGTAAGTTTAGATGCACTTGTTATTAATTGTCCAATGATATTTACTTTTTCTTTTTCTTTTTTTCAATCCAATTTTTCTCTATCCAACCCTGGAGTGAAAGGAAGAAAGAAAAAGTAAAAGCGAGTAGAGTTAGTCCTCGTTGAATTCAATCTCTGAATCTCTCGTTCTTTTTTTATTTCTTTCTTTCTCGGTATTTTATCAAGGTCCTCTAAGTTAGTCTCTTCATCTATCTATTTTACATACAATTCAAGAGGACCAACTGATACACAAATGTACAAAAAAGAGTAACGGAAAATATCCCTATTTGGGAGAAATATCATCGTTTCTAATAAAGCTATTTTTTTTACTCTCCTTAGAGATTATCGGTTAACGTGGCGAAAAGAAAAAAAATAATTTTATACCATTTTAACTATATCTTATCGGTAAGATATACTTAAAATGGTGAAAAGCAGATAAAGTTACCTAAAGTAACTTTAGAAACCTTTTTCCCATATTTTAATGTCTCATCTTAGAAAATAAACTCAAACTAACAACAAAACAATTGATAATGTTACAAGTTCTAAAAAATAGGAAGCTGAAGTAAAATTTTATTCAACATTTATGCTTACAAGTCCTAAGAATCTATCTTGATGATAATCTATCATAAGAATCTATCATATCAGACATTCTATCATAAAGAACTTGTACGGCCCAAATTACTATGTCCACCATCTTTCAACTTCCGGAGATTCATCATCTTGGCTCCAAACTGCACAGCAATATAAACAACAATCAATCAGTGAATAATCATCTAGCATAATATAATATAACTTGAAGCCAAATAAATATAAAAATATAAAATAGAAAGTGTTAGTGAAGTACATGAAGTCGCAGTATTGCTTTCTTGGTCAAGCAAAACCAAGCTTTCTCTGAAATAACTAGCATATAAGCTTTTTCTTGCACGACTGATCCCAAGGTCCCTCATCTCTTTGCTCTTGAGATCAAATGAATGCAAGGACATAACTGTTTCTCCATATGGGCATGGAAGTGCTAAAACCTCACTTGTAGGACTCGGTCCCAATAGCTTTTGAAACCCTTCCTCTAAATAAATATTATACATCTTAGTCCATGACTCTTCTTTTCTCATCCATATGCAGCAGTTAGTCTTTTCAAGCGAGGGGTTCTCTATAAGCGAAAGGCAACCCTCAATCATAGTAACAACCAAGTTCCTAATAGACACAGTAACCAACTCATTTGGAAGCTCCATCCTATTGAACTTCTCCTCCACCATATCGAACATCAATATGTAATTACTTTGAAAAGGAGCACTTTGGGTTCCTTGGGAGGCAAGCCAATACACATTTCCGTGGAAAAATACCTGTTGAGAGCAATAATCTATGCTTAAGTCAATGTATGACGCATCAATGACCCTCCAAGGGTGACCCTCGTTGAGGGAATACAACTCAACCTTTGGAGGAATCATGAAGACAGATGTAGGATGATATATCCGCACGACCTTGAAATCATTCTTTTTAGAATCAAACCCAAACCCGAGAACGTAACAACCAGGATGCAAGAGAAATGACTCCGGCACAATTGACTTTGGGAGTTGGAGGTGTCTTCGTATCGAAGGGTTCAAGAGAATGATATCATCTGTGTCATAATCAAAGAGACAAACAATACCGTTGAGGGCACCAACAAAGCCGAGGAATTTACTATCGGGAACCCAAAATGAGCATTCGAGATTTGCTATTTTGGGAAAAGAAGAGGACCATAAAGAATAGTTCTGCTTATAAGAGGGATATGAAGGGTAAAAATCGCGGAGAAGGAAGAGAGGAAGGGAGGGGTTTAAGAGAGAATGTTTGAGGTGTGAGGATATGAATGTGGGACTCTTTATCATTGTATTCAATGATTTGCACACTGACATGCATTTTCCAATGCTTTTGAGAGGTAAGCGAAGAAGTATTTCGCGCACTATGGCATCAGGAAGGCACTCGAACATTGTGAAGTTGGGAGGAGAGTTTAGGGAGCCAAGTGAATTCATTCTTCTTCCTTTGTAGAGCTTTAGTTAATAAAGTCACCCCACTAATCTGCATAGCAGTTAAAAACCTACTAACATAAATGTCCACGTGATCACAAAGAGGGTAAATTATTTGAAGCATGACTTTCAATAAATTATTTGACGCGTGACTTTCAAATATATATATATATATATATATATATATATATATATATATATATATATATATTAGTGCTATTTATGTGGAGAAGATATGATATAAGAGGGATAGATAAGATATAAGAGGGATAGATAAGAGTAGAGAATGATAATGGTAGGAGAAACTCATACCGTATTTGATGTGCATTAATATATAGTGTGATATGATTTTGTTGTCATAACTTGTGTTTGAAAAAGAAACTAGATCATGTGAGGATTTAAAAATGACAAACATTTTTTCATTCCATCTAAACATAGAAGGGTTTAACTTTTATGCTTTTGTTGTAGAAATATTTTGTCTACCAAGTGCACATAAAAGTGAGGGAGAGAAAAATTTGATGAAATCCACTCACTTTTACGTGAGTGTGACGGACAAAATATTTCTGTAACAAAAACAAAAATAGTTTTCCCAATAAGGGCTGTTATAATTACTACTTAAAAGTTTTACAACTCTTAATATAAAACTAATCATAATCATTGTTGATTTTCATCAATCTAACGGTTTTAATTTATTGAAAATTAATAATTAATTAATAAGTGTTCCCAATAAATTATAACTATTAGATTGACGAAAATTAACAGTAATTAATTTAGTAGCAAGAGTTGTAAAAAAAATTAGTTGTAGGTATAGGAGTGTAAATAGGCTAGGCTAGGCTTTGACTTAAATAGGCCAAGTCTGTGTAAAAATCTTTATGATTGCTCTGGCATGTATAGGTCTAAATTATAAGTCTGGCATGACCTGTATTTCAAAAATAAAAGCCTTAACCTAGGCCTGTTAGCCTGTTTAAGCCTATTAAATATTCAATAATTAAAAAAACTAAAATAATATTATTTTATTATTCAAAATTATTAAAATAATAATTTTATTTAAAATAAATAATATGATATAGGTCGGCCTGTAAGTATAGGCCCGACATATACAAAAAGCCTAAAGCCTGCTTTCTAAATAGGTTTTTTAAAAAGTCTAAATATGTTCTATTTGACTATTTATAATATGACAAGTCTGGCCTAAACGTTCATCCAAGTGGGCTTTGACTGTTGGGTCAAGAGTGGCATCACTTTTATAACTAGGTCTCCGTCACAACCTAAACATTCGTGGAGCATCATCACAATCACAATCACAATGTTCGATTTCCTTCCAGAAGCCCTAGTGCACGAAATCGTCCATCGCGTACCACTAAAAAGCATTGGAAAATGCATGTTAGTATGCAAATCATGGAACGCAATGATAAATAGCCACAGCTTCATATCCTCACACCTTCAACACTCGCTCATTAACCCTACCACTTCTCTCCTCCTTTTCCGCTATGTCTTTCCCTCATATAAAGAGCAGTATCTTATCTACTCCTCTTCCTTTCGCAGAATCGCTGAATTTTCATTTTCCGTTACGGTTAAAAAATTATTCTACTTTGTCGGCGCTGTAAACGGCGTCGTTTGCCTCTATGACTATTACACCCATGATATCGTCCTTTTGAACCCTCTGATAGGGAAAGAACTTCAACTCCCGAAATCGATATCCACGTGTGTCGCCACTCTCTTCGGGTTCGGGTTTGATTCGAAGAAGAATGATTTTAAGGTTGTTAGGGTTTGTTGTGTTGATAGTGGCGAAAGTGTGGTTGCTCCCATGGTGGAGTTGTATTCACTCGAGGAAGGTAATTGGAGGATCATTGATGCTTCATACTTAGAATTATTGGATTTAAGGATTGGTGATTGCAGGGAACAATTGTTTTTCCATGAGAATGTGCATTGGGTAGCTTATGATTCTTTACAATGTAACTGCATATTGACGTTCAATATGGTTGAGGAGAAGTTCGAGAAGATGGAGCTTCCGGAGGAGGTGGCTACTTCACCCTGCAAATTGGTTACGTCTGTTATTGAAGGATGCCTATCGATTATAGAGTACTTGTCTTCTTCGATATGCACAATATGGTCAAGGAGAGAATCATGGATGAAGACTTATAGTGTTTCTTCAGAGGTAGAGTTTGTACAGTTAATGGGACTGAGCACAAGTGAAATTTTAATTGTCCGACGCCACTTGTATATAAATTTGTATTCCTTTGATCTCCATAGCGAAGTGATGAAGAATGTTGGGACACTGAGTGTAGGAAAAGATTTATGTGCTGCTGATTTCACACAGAGCTTGGTTTTGCTTGACAGAGGAAGCAATGCTGCTTCTTTGTGTACGTAACTTATGCTTAGTTTTTTGTAATGTATTTTTATATTTATTTATTGGAGAGAAATCCACTTAACATCAATTAAGTTTATCACTTCTTACCACTAAATCTGTAACCGATGATTTCCGCCAATCTAATGGTTATAATTTATTAGATAATACTTGTGAATTAATTATTAAATCTCAATAAATTGTAATCGTCAGATTGACGGAAGTCAACTATTAAGATTTAGTGGTAAAAGTGATAAAGTAAGTATACCGTGCTCCTTGTTTATTTGACTAGTTGCTAATGTATTGTTGTTTATACTATTGTGCAGTGTCGGGGCATGATGATGAATGGGAAGTACAAGATTTTGAAGAGCCATTGCCATTTGACAAATTGAATAGCATACGCTGGAATGTAAGTTAATTTGTCTTATTTAGTGCTAATATTGACTAAAGTGAAGAGAATTCAAATCCTTTTGCTACAACTAAGCACAAGCATGCATAGGCATGTTATGTCAAACATTGGGGTGTAATAAACTCAAAATGGTTTTGTTAGGACCTGTTGTGTTTTTTACAAAAGTTTTTCAGGAAGGGCATATAAAAATTTATATTGGTTTTGTTGTTTGAAAAAAGAAGAAGCGCATATTGGTTCTCTATCTGGAAGTAAGAAGTCATATCCACGGGAGGAGAGGAGCATCTGTCACATGAGAATTTGCAAACATGTGAAGAAAGTTGTTCTTAGTGACCACCCGGCAATAGTTTTTTCAGAATGCCAAGCAATACCAAATAGAGCTTTAAGTCTTATCGGATGAAAATTTGTTTATACTTGATGATTCCTTAATATCTTATTTTTGTTTATATTGTTGTGCAGTGAATGGCGATGAATGAAAAGGACTGGATTCTGAAGAGACTAAAGGCAAAATAGAAAAGAAAATTGAGATTAACTTACATGCATGATGTTGAATCATCGGAAGTTGATGGTAAACATAATAGATGCATTATTCATGGTATCAGTATTTTCCTAGTTTCTAGACCTAAGCTTGATTATTATTAGGGGTTTAGTTTTCTCCTTTTATAAGAGAAAACTACTCTCCTGTTGACACAAGACAATATATGAGAGAAAAATAATAATAAGTAAGAGAAAAAAAAAAAAATCTAAGCTGGGATCATTTGTTAGGATGGGTCATTTTTTCCAATAACAGAGGAAAATGATTCCCCTTATTATTATGATCACTTAGTTTTTCTTTCTTTCTTTTTTCTTTTCTTTTTTTTGTTAAACCACTCGACTAAGTCTTTATTCTGGCCAATTTCATTTTCTATGTATTGAGGCGCTGTTATTCATATTAATGGATTTGAATCCTGCTAAATGCTTTTTTGTGTTCTTCTGTAACACCCCGTAGTACTCCGGTTGTTAACATACATGATATTTAACATTCACAGCGGAAGACTTTATTTGAAAAGGAATAAAGCATCTTATAAAAATACGAGTAAACTTTTTCCAAAACATTTCATAAAAACATTTCTAAAAACATTCACGTCAGATACTGCGAAAGCGTAAATCTAAATATACATCTACTAATTAATCTCATGAGCCAGTATTAGTGGCCATTGACCATTAAGAAATGACATCAAGTGTCATTCCTGACGGAGTCTCACGGACAGCATAACGGTTGTATTTCGGATAACTAGAAACATGATTCCACACATACAGATAACCTAATTAATACAACAATTTAAACAGATAGCTTGCAAGTCCCACACGGACTGCAATCCCCTTAATGGGTCAATACAACTAATAAGGCTCCATGCCCAAATTAACTGAATACATGCATCAAGTCTATATTAATTCGAAGTATAAAAGTATCAGTAAATAATCCATGGCTCTAAGAATACTATCATGAGCCTAAATAAATACATACAATAATCTCCATAAAATAATTAAGCATGTTAACAAGTCTACATGCCAATATCAAATCTAAACATAATATAAAATCATCAGCTGCATCATCAACTACTCTAATGCGGGGGCCTTGCCCCTAGAAGCATCACCACTACTCTGGGTACCTGAAATGATGTCCCCAAACGGGGTAAGATAACAATATCTCAGTAAGCTCAAGGTTCATAGAGGATCCTTTAACCCCTGAGCCCACTTCCTGCATAACAAGTTAGATATAAAGCATATAATGCAGACATACAGCATAAACATAGCATCATCATATCATCCTTGTGTAACCCCAGGGTCAAAGCCATAGACGGTTACACATGTGTGACTTTCAGGGTCAAGCCATAGACAGTCAACACAACCTCAGTATGAAATAGCTCCCAGAGTCAAGTCATGGGCAGCCTACATACCATGATCACTGGCCAGGATCCTCATAACATATATCATCAGTGCATCATCATAACATCAAGATCATATAACATCTATATGAATGTGAATGAATGCACATATACATCATACCATATACTTCCATACAATATAACCATAATGCCCGCCATCATGGTGGGGCCACAAGAGAGAGGAGTCAACTAGAACTAGGAGCTTACCTTAGGGAGCTTAGCACAAGCCCACACTCCAATATAATACGTATGCTCCAACAAAATCCTCAAGTGCACAGTTCTCTAGGCACACCTAGAGTAGGAACCATTCACATCATTAATTACATATTAATTAATCAAGTCATATCCACGACTTAATCATTTAATGATTCCACTTTTCATACTCATATGCCAATAATATGCCCATTACAAGCCTAGACCAATTATTACTTATTACATATTTTAGTGCATTATTACAAGCCACTTTAATCTTCAATTACTTACATAGCTTAGAATCACATGCAAGGCTCACTTAGATTATTTTCAACTCATCCAAGTCACATTTATGATTATTATAAGTTACTAAGGGTTCCCCTAAGCCCACTTAGCTTAAATATCACTTTTACAGTTTTTCCATAACTGTACATGCTTCTATTTTCTAGTTACTGGGCGTGACTCACTTGTTATAAAATTCTCATCTTTTCGTATGTTAATCTAGACTCAATTACCTTTCCAACAAGGTATCATATGCCTCATTTGAAGTTTCCTAGCTCAGGTTATCACCATTTGAAGTTGGACAAACAAAGCTGTTTGCCAACTCCGAACAGGACCCTAAACATCCTTTACCATTTCTGCGATTATGGAAATTCTACTAAATCAATTGCTCTAAAATTTTTATGTAGACAACTAGACACCTTTATCTTTAATTAGACATATTATGAGCCTAATTTGAGTAATAATTGAGGGAGAAAAATTCATGGAAGTGTCAGCCATGTACAGCGCCCCTGCACATGCCTCCTTGTGCAGTCCTCACTCAAACGAACATACAGAATGGAATATATCATCAATTGATACCAAATTTTGACACCACGTAGATAACATCTCAATCTTCAATTTGATATAAGGAAAATTCCTATATGACCTCTTTGGAGGGAGATATGCTCTCCCCAATTTTGCCTAAAAACTGGTTACTTAGCCTTAAATGTGTTTACTTAACAAACCTTAATTACTTTTGATTATAAATCCTAATTCACATTAATTCTTGGATTTTTTCTATTATTAAGTCACATTATGAAATATCCTTAGTCACATTATGTCATGATACTTAAATTTTACTAATTATTTAATTAGTGTACCTAAACCTTACTTTAGTCCAATTTTAGAGTTAAATCCTTGATTACTTTTGTTAATTAATCTCTACCCTTAATTAATCACCTAATTCATCATCTCCTTAATTTTAACACAACTAAACCCTTATGTACTTTATGGGGCAGATTTGATTAGCTATATTGTAACACCCTCCCTTGTGTGCACCCAAGAGAGTTTGTTTGCTAAGCGGAATTAGAGTTTTTGACGTCATTTTAACTACTGAAAAACCATTTTGATGTTGCTAATTAAAAAGTATGATTGAAATCAGGTTGCTTACAAAAATCAGAGTATACTTTCTAATTTCATTAACTTGCTGAAAACATTAATTTCCTGGCAAACCTTGTTGTCTTCAAAAATTTGTATAAAATCAATCTTTCACAATTCTTTTGTAATGTTTATATAATCAAAAACTAGACACGTGGGGCTTCGCGTGCATATAAAATAATAGGAAATCGGAGTTCGTTTGCCCTTTGTAACGTAACTCGCAAAGTGCTCGCGAGACTGTTTAAAAACCAATACTTAATAAAACGTCAGAGATATTTTCACAAAATGTTTCTAAAATTTGTTTCCAAAATACATACTGATCATAAAAATCTTAAAACAGTAGTAAAATCATAATCCAACAGTAATCCAACTACTCAATTTAATACAGTCATCCATCAAATAGACAACAACAACAATAGTTCAAACAGCAGCACATAACAGCAAAAATCCATGTAATCATGACTTCATATGCTCTTCCGTCCTCCTGCCATTTTGTAAAATAGCAGCCCCAAAGGGGTGAGAAAAATCCCAGTAGTGTGGCAACAAAACCAGTAATGCAACAGTACTAACTAAATACAGAATTACAAAACAGTCGCATCATCAGTTCAAATCCGACAATTACTAATCATAATCATAGTGCGTATATAACGCCAGAAGTGTACGTTCATAGCACTACGGTGCACGTATCACTAACATAATATCATATTGCGTATATAACGCCAGAAGTACGGGATCGCACCGTCGTGCGCGTACTAAACAAAACAGTGGAGTAACCTGGGTGGCTCCTCAGAAGGCCTCCAACTGTACCTAAGCGGACTGAAGCCAAGTGTCCCATACCCTGGTACCGTAGGGATGCCTACATGATGCGTGCTCAAACGTATGCTTAGTTTACATAATTATTTTCAGATGCCAACATGAAAATTATGCATGTATGCTATGTCATGAATCACACACAACATACAGTAAAAAAATCATGAATGCGTATGCATGACTAGATAATAATCAGAATGGCATATACACCATGGATTTCCAATATCAAGTTGCTGAATATATTTACTTTTCAAAACAGAATATCCAGCATATCATATTCCAGAATAGCATGTGAATAACATATACATAATTCGAATCCAAATCATGAGAGCAACGTTCACAATCCATGTACTAGCTAGCAGTCACAGAAGGTAATGCCACCAGACACTTACCTCACACGTCACAGTTAATTTACCAGGCAGCAGCGAAATAATCCAAGTCTCAGGGTTTTGCGTACCTAATATACAAGTGCAATAAATCAGAATGCGTCCCAAGCCATTCCTAGAAATTTACCAACAAGCCTCCAAACTTTAAGGCTCATGTACCCCATTCGGCCATCATGGTTCTTTTCTTACAAAATTTCAGGTTCCAATTCGGTTTACCCCCAAGCAAACAGTGAAGAAATCCAAGGTTCACAATCTACTCATATTCGGTTTTAAGTTCCTGATTTCACCTAAGTTTATAAATTTTATACAGCACAAATACCCAATTGGTTCCTATCATGGTTTCTTTCCTAATAGCATTCTGCCATTAATTTAATTTTCACGAATGATTAACCACGAATAAGTCTCAATGGCTTACTCAAAACAGAACCGGTTTTGACACAAATTATTCAAGACTTTATTCATCAATTTCCTGCTTCTCTA